CTGATTTTTTGTATTTTTAGTAGAGACGGGGTTTCACCATGTTGACCGGGATGGTCTCGATCTCTTGACCTCGTGATCCACCCGCCTCGGCCTCCTCAAGTGATTCGCCTGCCTTGGCCTCCCAAAGTGATGGGATTACAGGCTTGAGCCACCGCGCCCGGCAAAATAGCTATTTTTCAAAAAAATTATTTATGGCCGGGCGCGGTGGCTCACACCTGTAATCATAGCACTTTGGGAGGCCAAGGTGGGTGGATCACCTGAGGTCAGGAATTCAAAACCAGCCTGGCCATCATGGTGAAACCCCATCTTTAAAAAAAATATATATATATTTATGTTAACACATATTGGGCTTTTGTTACTCATAAATGATTAATAAAAATTTTAAGAAAAAAATAAATAAAACATATTTTTTCCATTCCTGCAAGATTGGTTTCGTCTTTCTCTAAAGCTGACCTTTTTCAAAGTATCATATTATTTTCTTATGCTTTGTGTTCCTTCTTTTGTGTTTTTAATTCTTTACAACAAAGTCTCTAATCTGTTTCTGATCATTATTGCCGTTCTTGGGAGCCTGATCCTACAGTTTGTTGTGTCTGCTGACTCTCCCTCCTGCAAGATTGTTTTCTCGTGTGTTTGTAATTATGGATTATGAGCTCATCTTCAACGGGGTTTTATCTTTGTTATTCCTAGAAGATCTGGGTAGTGTTTGCTTCTGCAAACGCATTTCAGTATCATGGGTTCATAACTACATTTATGTTAGTTTACAGACTTTGGGGAATTTCTACACTACAAAGATAATATGATTTAATCCCTGATGTGGTTTTAGATGTGTGTCTCTGCCCAAATCTCCTGTTGAATTGTAATCTCCAGTATTGGATGGAGGTGGAGCCTGGAGGGAGGTGACTGGATCATGGGGGTCAATTTCTTATAAATGGTTTAGTACCATCCCTTGGTGCTGTCCTCATGATAAACAAGTGACTTCTCACAAGATTTGGCTGTTTAAAAGTGTGGCACCTTAGCTGGGCATGGTGGCTCACACCTGTAATCCCATCACTTTGGGAGGCCAAGGCAGGCAAATCACTTGAGGCCAGGAGTTCGAGATAAGCCTGGCCAACATGGTGAAACCCCATCTCTGCTAAAAATACAAAAATTAGCCAGGTGTGGTGGTGGGCGCCTATAATCCCAGCTACTCGAGAGGCTGAGCAGTCTCAAAAAATATAAAATGAAAAATAAATAAAAATAATGGGCTGGGTACAGTGGCTCATGCCTGCAATCCCAACACATTGGGAGGCCAAGGAGGGTGGATCACAAGGTCAAGAGATCAAGACCATCCTGGCCAACATGGTGAGACCCTGTCTCTACTAAAAATACAAAAATTCGCTGGGCGTGGTGTCATGTGCCTATAGTCCCAGCTACTCGGGAGGCTGAGGCAGGAGAATCACTTGAACCTAGGAGGCAGAGGTTGCAGTGAGCTGAGATGGTGCCACTGCACTCCAGCCTGGTGACAGAGCAAGACTCTGTCTCAAAAAAAGAGAAAAAAAAATTGGGTGTGTGTGTGTGTGTTAAAAATAAAAGTGTGGCACCTTGCTCTCTCTTGCTCCAGGGCAACATAGCAAAATTCCATCTTTTAGAAGAAGAAAAAGAAAGGAGGAGGAGAAGGAGGAAGAGGAGGAGGAGGAGGATGCCATTCTCATCCCCAGATCCTACACAAAAAGGAAGTCGGATTACCCAGCCACTGTGAGATTTTCTAAAACTTACCAATTACCTTACAATGTCCCCACACGTCATGGTTAGTCACTGATAAAACCGGTATCTGAGTTCCACAAAACCAAACAGAGAAAATCACTAGGCCATGTTAACACATGCCTCCCACCAGGCGTCGTTATGGAACGTATATGTCATACAAAGGCCAGCCCTAGTGAAAAATCATGTCTTGGCTTTGTAAGGTGATAGCAGAACCTCTGGATCACCACGGAAGCTAGCTTTCCCTGGCTGGTTAGTAGAGTTGCCCGAAATCATTCCATTACCACATTGAGTAGAAGTCTTCTGTTAGAATCAATTATCAGAATAAAGGGATCCCATTCCAAAAGAAAACCAACCTCTAACAAAGTTTTTGTTACAGTGTTTACAAGGTCAAGTTCATATGAAGTAAGACATTCTACAAAACCTACAAAAGAATCTGCAGTAAATGTGGATACTTTTCTTTGGTATACAGAATTATGCCTGTGTAATTAATACAAATGCAGTACTTTTATTTATTTATTTATTTATTTATTTTTTTTGGAGACGGAGTTTCGCTCTTGTTA